TAATAGTAAGAGGTATCATGTTTCTTGCTTACTCTGTAAGAGATGTTTTAACAATAGTCTTTACAAAAACCATAAGGGAGTACTGTCATCCTAATTATATAAATGAGGAAACTTAAATTTAGGGAGGTTAAGTAATCTTCCCAAGGCCACACATCTAGGTAAAATTGGAGCCAAGCTTTGGATCTAGGAAGGCCTATACTGTTAAATATCAAAGGACCCTACGTCCTGATGGCTCTAAACCTCTAACCGAACTCTAGAAACACTATTTCCAGGTTTCTTGTAACATGATAAAATAAATCATGATTGCCCAGCCAGTGTGGCTCAGTGGTTGAGTGTCTACCCATGCACCAATGGGTTGCCAGTTTGATTCCCAATCAGGGCACATGCCCAGGTTGTGGGCCTGATCCCCAGTGGGGGGCATGTAGGAGGTGGTCAATCGATGTCCTCGCTCATCAATGTTTCTATCTCTCTCCCCACTCCCTTCCTCTCTAAAAATCAGTAAAGATAAAAATGTTTTTAAATAATAAAATAAATCGTTATTGTCTAGGCCAAATTGCCATGATATCTTGCTCTTTGTAGCAAGCTTATATACAAATATCTGTGAGAAAAGAATCAATCAATTTTTATAGAGCATAGGGTACAAGAATAATTCTAGAACAGTGTAAGACAAAATAGTTTTTGTTACAAATTTCATAAAAACTGAACAAATATTAGGTCACCAAAAATGGAAATATACTTGAACATATTTGAACAAAGTATTTTTTGTCATTTGAAATGTGTTAGTGTCAAATATTTTATAAGGTTATAGGTATTACTTATGCTTATCAGCACCCATATATTTTCAATTAAAGTCTAATGGTATTAATCAACTAGCTAGATTTTAATTCATTTCAGTGTGGATCATCACTTTTCTTACATCTTTGCTACCTTTATTCCTGAGATATTTTGATGTGTCAACCAGTAATCACAACATAAATGTCCTTTGAGTCCTGTTTTTAATGTAACACAGATATAACTGAGTTGCATGAGAACAATTCTTAGATGACAATTATGTTCACTACAAGCTCGGAACAGTCTTTCTCTTTGTTGATTTAACAAGTTCTCTCTGCCTTTTTTATTTTTCTTCAAGTAAATATTTTAATGCAGATTTTTTTAGACATCTTTACTTTTTTTTTTTTTTTTTTTAACCTTTTTATTTTTTTTATTTTTTTTTATTATTTTTTTTTAATCCTCACCCGAGGATATTTTTCCATTTTTTGTTCAGGTAGAGTGGGAGGGAGAGAGAGGAAGGGAGAGAGAGAGAGAAACATCGACGTGAAGGGACACATCGAGTGGCTGCCACCCGCACGACCAACCAGGGCCGGGGACAAACTGCAACCGAAGTACGTGCCCTTAGCGGGAACCGAACCCGGGTCTCTCCGGACCGCAGGCCGACGCTCTAACCGCTGAGCCAAACCGGCCAGGGCTAGACATCTTTACTTTTGATTGTGTGCATGTGCACTCTTTTTCTCTTAATTATCTTGGAATTCAGTGAATCCTGTCCAGGATCTATCTTGTCATTTTGGGATTTAGAATATGTTTGATTGTTGTTGTTTTTGTCTAATGACATTATTTTCATTGTGATTCCTGTTTCATAGGTTCGCTTTGCTTACTACATAACAGCTAATATGTATGATTATTTGATCTGTTCTCCATTGTCTGTCTCCCCTTTTTTTGCTATTTTTTTTTCTCTATTTTCTATGTATCCTGAAAGTGTTTCCCAAGTTTATTTGTGTATTGTTAGTCTGCTATTTATTGTCTGATATTTTCGTTGCTGCACTGTTGGTCTCATTATTCTTTCTCATAATCGAATCCTGGTTCCTTTCTATTTTTCCCTATTGTGGTTTGAGAAGAGGGAGGCAATGCGCACAGTGGATAAGCACACAGATGCTGAACCTTCTGCACGTACCAGCTGTCTCCTAGGGCAAGTTACTGAACTTCTCTGGACACCAATTCCTTAACTTTAAAACAAAAGAGTAACAGCAATTTCCTCAAGAGTAGTAAAGATAGATGAGTTAATATATATAATGCTATTAAAGAATGCCCGGCACATCGTATTACTATATAACTGCTATTGCTAATAGGGACAATGTACCCCTCTGTCTGCAACTGTTAAATTGTGCACAGTTAGTATTTACTTATGTTTCCTGAAATAATGATTCCAGAGAAAGACTTTTTTTAATAGGGCATTTAGAAATTAATTTTTCTTCTTCTTTTTCTTCTTCTTCTTCTTCCTTCCTCCCTCCTCCTCTCTTTCCTTGTCCCTCCTCTTCCTCTTCTTCCCTCCTCCTGCTCCTCCTTCTTTTGGTTGGAGAATGTTTGCATTACATTCTCCAAGAAAGTTACCTTGTATATAGAGAGCTCTATCCAACCTGGATTTAGAAAGCATAAGGGAACCTTCTTAGTCCTTCAATAAAATCCAACCTTGGATTAAGAACATAGAGAGACTCTTCACAGAAAGAGATCTTATAGTTCTAGCTCAGGCCCTATAATATCCATTCTTCTTTTTCATATGCTCATTGAAACCTGCCTTCACATAAATAAGACACATCAAGTATTGTTCTAGGCACTGATGCCTCTATTTTTGGAGCTTAAACATTGAAGTTTGGAGAGGATGATGACGATATACAGTTGTTCTTGGGCATCTACAGGAGAGATTGGTTGTAGAACCCCCACTGGTACCAAAATTCATTGACGCTCAAGTCCCTTATATAAAATGGAATAGTGCCCAGCTGGTGTGGCTCAGTGGATTGAGCATCGTCCCATGGACTGAAATGTCCCAGTTCAATTCCTAGTCAAGGCACATGCCTGGGTTGCAGGCTCAGTCCCCAGTGAGGGGAGTACAGGAAGCAGCCAATCAATGTTTCTATGTTTCTATCCCTCTCTCCCTTCCTCTCTCTCTCTAAAAAAAAAAAAAAATCAATAAAAATATGTTTTTGAAAAAGGCATAGTAACCTATATTTGCATGTAGCCTACAGCAGGGTGTGCCTACATATCACTTCATTTGCCTGGATACAGAGTAGTGCTAGATGGGTGGCAAATTCGAGTTTTGCTTTTTGGGACTTCCGGGTCTTATTCTGTTAACATTTTCAATTTGTGGTTGGTTGAATCCATAGATGCAAAACCTACAGATACAGAGGGTCATTGGGTCAATTATAATAATAATATTATTATTATTTTTCATCATTAATTAGTGCTACAGAAATATAAAACCAGACAATGGAATATAGAATGAATTTAGGGACAGGGTTGACTACTTTAGAGAAATGGCCATTAAAAATATCTTAAAGGAGCATCATTTGGGGTAGGAACTGAGTAACAAGTAAGTGCAATGGTGGAAACACCTCTGCAGGGGGCCTTTCAGTGTCTGATATAAAAATGAGTCTTCCAGGCTCACTAAGGCAAAATGAAAAAGAAAACCAGTATGGCTATAAAATGGTCAAGGGAGAGAGACTAGCCAAGAGGTCAAGCAAGATGTAGGAAAGAAATCATGTAGCAAATTGCAGATAAGAAAAAAAGTTGCATTTTATTTTAGATGCCTATGGGAGTTTGATGCAGGCTATAATCATTATGTTTTTTATATGGAAATGTGATTATAATTGCAAGTATGGAAGTATGGAAAACCATTAAGAAGAGTGTTATTACCATTGAAATGAGAGATGGTAACACAGAGGGGTGGTAACAGTAAAAATGTTGGAGGATAAGTTATGAGCCTATAGGAATGCAAACAGAACTAATACAGAAGGGGGCAAGGCTGATCATATATAAACCACACAGGTGCAGACACAGATACATATAGATATAGATATAGATAAAATAGATACATAGTATATAGACAGATGATAGATAAATTGATAGATGATGATAGATAGATAGATAGATAGATAGATAGATAGATAGATAAAGAGATAGACAGATAGATATACACACATATTTCTTATTAATATATATTCATGTATTTTTCAAATACTGATTAAATCCTTATATTCCATAAAAGAACTCTAACACAGGAGGTACAATAATAGTCTAAGTAAGAGATGACTAAAACCTGAAATAGGGTCGGGAAAGGAGAAATTGAGAGTAAATACTAATGCTAGAAGAAGTAAAAAAAAAAAAAATGTTAGGGAGTAGTGATTGATTATATTGGGGATTGGTATGGGTTGGTCAGACAGAAGAGAAAAACAAAGCTTAGTCCAAGATTTAGAGGCTGTATGCTTTGAAGAATAGTGCTATCATGAGAAGAAATAGGCAAGCTTAGAAGGGGTGTCAGTTTGGGAGAGAAGGTCATGAGTCTTGTTTTAGACACACTGAACAGAAGTAACGGGAAGATAAGCAATGGAGATGCTTTGCATTCTTTGGGGATATGGTGCCCTCACTCAGGGGAGAACGAGATTGTAGGTGTAGACAGGAGAGTTATCTGTTTAGAGGTGATGGCAGAAGCTATGCAAATAAGGTCCCAATAGGAGAAAACCAAGAAAGGATCAGGGAACAAAGACAACATTTCTACAAGCCCTCTGACTCTTCCCTTTCGGTTCCTTTCCATGTGCTCATAAATATCTAAGAGCCAACAAAGAAGTAAATCCGGCCTGAATTAGTTTTTAATTCCTGTTTCTCATTTCTGCTTAAAGTATAACTTCCACCAAATTCATGTTCTTTATAAGCAAGTATAAACAAGAGGTGTGTGGTGAGTGGATTTTTCTTGTTAATTTTAATATGGGCAAGCAGTGCTTAAAACATTTTTTTTTTTTTTTTAGTGAAAGCATTTATTTAGCAAACCTCTTTTAAAGTCCACTTCTTTGTAACAGCAGCTTGTAAAGGGAGAACTAAACTGGTGTGCAAAATTTGATTTGAACTATGATTATTTTTCTCAAAATAAAAGTGGACCTTTGCGGACTTCTGACAGTCAGCAGTAATTAAAATATGTATTTTCCAATGGAGTCAATTCCACAATTTCAGCTTACCTTCTTTAACAGCTTTGGAAAAAATGTTGCTTTATGGTCTTCAGCTTTATGGTTTTCAGTCACACTGTGTCTTGATCTCTCAAAAATGATGGTGCTGAAAAAATCAATAGAGATGATCTGTTCTTTACGTTATCTTCTAAACTGAAATCTCTCAGATGATATTTATTGTGTGGGTCTCAAACTTTAAAGTACATCAGACTCACTCATAGTGCTCCATGGAAACAGAGGTTCTGGGGCTCTGCCCCCAGAGACCTGGACTCACAAGCCTGGTGGAAGGCAGGAGCCTGACTTTACCACAAACACCCCACTCGATGCTGATATGTCTCAAGAACCACAGTCTATTAAAGATTGATTTATTGAATCTTCACAGGCTGCCTAACATTGTATACAGTGACATAACTAGAACACCTGAAAAGGTGACTTTGTTTAATCATCAATTCTGCAGAGGATTTTCTGCTTACATAGGGGCAGGAGAGATTTAGGCTTGATTAACGGTCTCTAGTTGAATAGTTTTTACAGTTGACTAAATGTGGATATCATCATCCTGATATGCTCTTTGTTTAAGGTAGATACTAAGCGTGGATGATGTGGCTCAGTGGTTGAGCATCAACCCATGCACCAGAGTAGAAGGTCACCCATTTGATTCCAGGTCAGGGCATATGCCCAGGTACTGGGCCTGATACCCAGTGGGGGGCATGCAGGAAGTGGCCAATTGATGTTTCTCTCTCTCTCTCTCCCTCTCTCTTTCTCTCTCTCTAAGATCAGTAAAGAAAAAATATTAAAAGAAATGAGGTAGATATTAAATTACCTTCATCCTCACAGCAACTCAATCTCATTTCTTCTTCACATAAGTTCTCTTTCAACCATTCATTAAATTTCTCAAAAAATTCTACTTTCATTACTATCACAATGGTTACATGAATTTGTCATGGGATTACTTTTAAACCCTAAAATACTGCTTTTAACATAAGGTGATTATTACTCTGAACCTATATGTTCAAGTTAAAAACATGTAGAACATATGGATAATAAGTAGACCCAAATGAATATTATCACCTATAATTTCTGTATATTTTCTTAAATCAATATATATATATATATATATATATAAATGTGTCACTAGGTGATTTTGCCTCTGTCAAACATCACAGACTGTACTTACACAAGCCTGGATGGCCTACTACACACCTGTGCTATTGGGCATTTCCTGGTGCTCCCAGGCTACAAGCCTATATTACAGGTTACTGAACAAAACAACATGAGTTCCATCAAGTACAAGAGAAAGTCATGCAATCAAGAGACTCGCTAAATGTGGGGTGCATGAAACTACTGTTAGCATAACACCCACACTGTTTAACCACAAATATTTTTGTAAGCAGAAAGAGTACTCTAAAATAAGGATAAAAATTAGGGTCTAGTAAATACATAAACCAGTGACATAGTCATTTATGACCACTATCAAGTACTCTGTGCTGCACCGAGCTACACGTGCTATATCTTTATACAACGGACCGTGTATGGGAGGTTTGTTTACACCAGCACCACTGCCAACTTGTGAGCAATGCATGTCCCCATGTGTTGTGATGACTATGGTGTCACTAGGCAATAGACATACTTCAGCTCCATTGCAACTTTACGGGACCACATCATATAAGTGGTTGGTGTTTTACCGAAATGTTGGTACGCAGCATATATGTCTACATACAGGCATACCTCAGAGATTGTGGGTGTGGTTCCAGACCACTGCAACAAAGCCAGTATAACATTGAAACAGGTTGTAATCTTTTTGATAGATATCATATGCATCAGAGATTTATGTATATGAGTAAAGTATTTAGAGCAAGAGCAATATTTTCCAATCAATGTTCATAAACCTATCATTTATTACCAGATAGTCAGGCAATGTTGCAATTTTAAGTCTTCTCTAGCTTTAAGGGATTCAATAATTATTACAGTTAATAGGTTGAAAAGAGGAAAATATGAGTTTTCTACAGGACCTTTTCTTAAGGCTTTTTAAAAGTCTTTTTAGAAATCTGTTCTTTCAATGTCATACCACTCACAGCGAAGCCCGAATTGAAATGGTCTGTGGCAGCTCTCTGAAGTTGTTAAGCAACTATGTGAGGGGATGTGTGATTTTGGAGGAGCTTGCATTTGACACAGCCTAAATTCTCAGAGATGCTGTGAATAGATGGTCGAATTCAACTGGCATTTCATATTCGGGAGGAAAGATATATTGAGTGTGAGCTAAGTTACTCAAGGATTTAATTCACACCTTTTCTTTGTGGTGTGCACATTTCTGCCCAAATTGAAGTGTGCCTACAAAATTTCTAATATATATGAATGGGACACTGAAATGGAAGACAACTGATCAGTTGTGCTTGAGTTCTTTCAGAGCAACTGAAAAGCATCTTGAAGTAGCTCAACACAAATGGAGGTGCCTCTCCTGTTAAGGACAAGTCACCTGGACTTGAACACAATTCAGAGATTTTGAAATTTTATTTTTTTATTTTATTTTTATTTATTTATTTATTTTTTCATTTTTATCAGAGACTGCATGAAGTCTGGTTTAATTTGGTCTGATTATTTGCATACACACAACAAGAATAGCAATTAATCATGGCTCTCTTTTTTTTAATCCTCATCTTTTGTTCAGATAGAGCGGGAGGGAGAGAGAGAAAGAGAGAGAGAAACATCGATGTGAAAGGGACACATCAAGTGGCTGCCACCCGCATGACCAACCAGGGCCGGGGACAAACTGCAACCGAGGTACATGCCCTTAGCGGGAACCGAACCCGGATCTCTGTACCGCAGGCAGACTCTCTAACAGCTGAGCCAAACCGGCCAGGGCGATTTTGACAATTTATACAAAGCTATAAACCCTCAATCTTTTACTTTGCTTCCAGAAGTTTGCTGATGTTCATAAGAACAATATGCTTCAAAGAAACACTGGGATTATTTGACAGGGGATAAAATTAGGGACACCTGTCCATGATACATTATTTAGTTTATTATCCGGTATTGTCATGAAACACAAAGCCAAGATTTTTAAAATAAATTTTTGAGTTGTATTTATAGATTCTTAGAGCACTTCACTTTTATTTATTTATTTTTTTTAGTTTATTTATTTGTTTTTTATCCTCACCCAAGGACATTTTTTCATTTTTCTTTCAGATAGAGCAGGAGGAAGAGAGAGGAAGAGAGGGGAAGAGAGAGAAACATCAACGTGAAATGGACACATTGAGTGGCTGCTACCCGCAAGACCCAACCAGGGCCAGGGACCAACTGCAACCAAGGTACATGCCCATAGCAGGAACCAAACCCAGGTCTCTCTGGACTGCAGACCGACACTCTAACCGCTGAGCCAAATGAGCCAGTGCGCACTTCACTTTTGTTTACCAAACAGCTTCTCTATTACATTCCAGTGAAGCCTGGCCAGTGTGTCTCTGTGGTTGAGCACAGACCTATGCACCAAGAAGTTGCTGGTTCAATTCCGGGTCAGGGCACATGCCCAGGTTGTGGGCCCGATCCCCAGTGGGGGGCATGCAGGAGGCAGCCAGTCGATATTCTCTCTAGTCGATGTTTCCATTTCTCTCTCCCTCTCCCTACCTTTCCCTCTAAAAATGAATAAAGGAAAGAAAAAGATTACAGTGAAAACCTAAATTTGATCCATAAAGCCCAATTCTTTTCATTCAAGATATAATCACTAGACACCTAACTAAATCAGTGATGGCAAACTATAGAAACATTGTCAAAAAGGATATCATATTATTTTGGAACCATGCTTCATGAAGCTATAAAATGTAAAGAGGTAAATAACAAATATAAAGAACTTACATTCATCTTTAAGTATAATATTAAAAAATTAAACAATTGCTTTAAAATCTTTGCCTGATGACTGAATCCTAATAAATTACATGTTTATTCATTATCTAGAATCCAGTTAAAAGTCTGTGAACTACATTTTAGCTGTAAAATTATTCAGTTGAGTTTATAGGGTAAGAGTAAGCATTTCCACAATGGGGGAACAAAAGGGAGATCCGTCTCCTGATGATGTATTCTAAGTCTACTTCCCTGATAGAAGCCTCAGTGTTTAAGTGCAGGTCCCTTCTTATTCTCTGTCACAAAGCTCCCATAAATCTCTAGACCAACAAACTGGCTCTTATTCATACAGTACTGCCTCGCAGCTATGCACTCTAATTAGTCAAGGTCATTTAAATACATTTTGCATGAAGCACCTAAAGCTCAATGTGCCATTTTGTTTATTTATCAAATTACTAATCAATATGCTACACCACAGTTACCACCAGCCTTCAGCTACCAGAGAGTGCTACATGAATTAAAATTGTCCAGGCTGTCATCTGCATAAACAAAATTAGTGGATGCCATTATTTTTCATGATAGAGAGCAATGGAATGGGTTTTAAATAGAAATGAATCAGAAATGAATCGGTATTTTACATAAGCTTAAAATGCTTCATTTTAAACTTTAGCAAACCTAGTATTAAACGGGCTTCGATTTCACTTTCTCTCTCCAACATATTACCTCCACTCTATTGGTAAAGTAATTTATTCCATCCTCTGTGGAGAGCCGGGATCTTATTTGCCAGCGTATTTATCTTCCCTGCCACTGCACTGCCTGTCATTCATCTGCAGTCTCCACAGAGGACCAGACCTGTACAGAATTGCAATTAGGATTGATTCAACTAAATCCAGGCCACAGAACTGATGCCGACAGGGTGACCTCAAGAGAATTTAAGATGCTGGGTTAGAAAATACACACACACTTTAGATCCACGATTCATTAGGTTCTCCGTGTACTTATTATACTTTGGACCACAGTAGACATTTAAAACAGTATTTTTGGTACTACAATGGAAAAGTAAACTGCTTCTCAGCAGTTTTGAAAACCTACAAAAAAAAAAAAGAAAGAAATTTTATGAAACTTGAGGTGTAAGCAGCAGTTTGTAAGGAACAGAAATCTAATTTCCACTGAGTTTGTAGATCTTAAGCTTTCTCGATTTATGCAGAAGAGAAGTAGAACGCAAAGCAATTTAGATAAAGTTGCTCTGTTCTCACACCCTTGTGGTGATGTATCTTCAGCAGTTCCATCATAATCACCAAAACAGCACCACCTAGGTGTCAGTTAAATGGTCTAATAGCCCAGCCGGTGAGGCTCAGAAGTTATCTATTCATGCACCAAGAGGTCACCAAGTGGATTCCAAATCAGGGCACATACCCAGGTTGTGGGCCTGATCCCCAGTGTGGGGCATGCAGGAGGTGGCCAATCAATGTTCTCTCTCATCGATTTCTCTCTCTCTCTCTCTCTCTCTTCCTCTCTTTTTAAAAGCAACAAAGAAAAAAAAAATTTTTAATGGTCTAGCCCTGACTGGTTTGACTCAGTGGTTAGAGCGTCGGCCTGCATTCCAGAGAGACCCGGGTTTAGTTCCCGCTAAGGGCACGTACCTCGGTTGCAGTTTGTCCCCGGCCCTGGTTGGGTCATGTGGGAGGCAGCCACTCGATGTGTCCCTTTCACATTGATGTTTCTCTCGCTCTCTCTTCCTCCCACTCCGAACAAAAAATGGAAAAATATCCTCGGGTGAGGATAAAAAAAAAAAAATGGTCTAATAGAATTTTATATATACTTCTTGGTTCCGTGGGACCATTTCGTGGTTTCAAAAGGAAGTAGCAGTAAGTACAAGGAATAAGCAAGAGTTCCTCTGACCTATCATCTATAACATGTCATATCAGTCCTGAGGTTCTGCACTGTGCATTAGGAGTCATCTATTATAGATGGCCTGTCCTCATCCTCGTTCCACAGTGGAAGGAAGGAAAGTCTGCCATCAGGGAACGAGTCTAACTTACTCTGTAAAGTAGAAAGGAAATTGCAAACGGTAACAGTAGCTGAGTAATCTTCTCTAAGTAGATTTTCTTCCATTTTTCTCTTGGGAGTCAGAATGATGCTCTCCCAAAAGGATAATGTTTGATAGGTAAGAACAATCTTATTTAATCTAATAAGGGAATGAGAACATCACAGAAAGCAAAATTCAATAGAGGAAAATCAAATGGAGCAAAGGAGAACTGTGTGTCGTTGGGTTAATAGAATAGGAGGTGGGGTGTCAAAAGTCCCTCATTTTTTTTCCTGCTTAATCAAATTAATTTAAGTGTGGGAAAAGTTGTAAAATAAAAATATATCTCCTTCCCCCACAATATAATGGAAGCCTATCAAAAAGTATCATAATGGCATTAAGATTTTAAGGTTTTTTTTAAAGTACATTGTAATTAATTTTGTAAGAGAAAGAATAATGAATTCCATTCTGACCACATGGAGAACAGATTTTTTTCCTTCTTGTATAAGAAACTATATTATGCAATATATACTATCTTTCCATTTTGGGTCGAGAAAACCACTGAAAAGACAGCTGAAACTTCACATCCAGTTCTCATAATTGCTCATAAGAATGTGGGAAGGAAAAAGTAAGGTTGTATCCATTGTCACTGAGACTCTTGATAGGTGTTTGGTGGAGATTTAGTTATCAGAAGAGCAGATGTCTCTCAGATTCACAACAGTATCATACATATAAATACTTTGGAGGGGACAAGGAGCTAGATTCTTCATAAGCTATATAGTCATTCCTCGCCACTTCGCACTTTGACTTTTGCGACTTCACTCTATCGCAGTTTTTTCAAATATATTCATTAAAAAGTTGATCGAGACAGTGAAAATGATACAGCGCATGCTCGGTTGTCTGAGTCAATTATACAATCCTGTATTACAATTACAATTAAAGTTACTAAACGTATGGACTGTCAGCCTATGTATTGGAGCACCCCAGGAATCCTTCAACACCAGGTGCAACCGCTAGAGTCTGGAATGGACTAACCACAATAAACGAGGGACGACTGTATTGCTATCCATGTTACTTAAAAAGGATGGTACTGTTTATCATCATACTGCTATTCAGATTTTATGACCACCAATCAGGAAAAAGTGTCAACTAAATACATGAAAAATTTTGTATGTATAGTTGATCCCTTGAAATCTGAAGTAGCAAGAAGAGAAGGGAAGTAAAAAGTATCAGTAAGTGTTCTAAGAAGTCACAGAAACAGTTGCACAGGTATTATGGCCCCACTTACCAAAGGAAATTATTTCTTGTTTTTGTCTTTAAAAACTATGAAACTGCTCTTGTACAGTTTTCAGAACCTCCACTAGAAATGAAGTAATAGAAAAGGTATGACACTCAGTCAGTTAAAGTAATTAGCAAGAGAGAAAGAGAAAACACTTCCTAAGGGATCTGTGGCAGTCCGGCATCATTGCACAGTGGAAGACTGTTCTCAGTTTTGCATCACAGAAGCCAAGTTTGATCACCAGGAGGTGATTTTGAATGTAGGTAAATGAATCAGATTAACCAAAATCCCCAAATATTGATTCATACACCTGAGTGCTACATTTTTTTCTTTAAATTCAGAATATAGGATATGTATTTCTAGGCATCAAGATGCATATCAATTTGTTTTTCACAACTCTATTACCTCAAAATGAAGATGTCTGAAAAGACACAGACTTATAAAGTGGTGACGCATGTGTGAAGCCAGAGAAAAGGGAGTCTAACCATTTTGCCCTCTGTTTGACCCCAACTATGATAAAACCTGAAGAATTTTTAATGATATTGTTGATCCAATGCAGCCGCTGATTATGTGCTGAAAAGGTCTTACCACCCATTTCCAATAATGCTTATTACTTTACAAAATCTTCTACCATTAAAACACTCCCATATAATGGACATGTTTTCATTATAGGTTATATTTTATTAATTATACTTTGATTGTTGTGTGTGTGTTTTTTCACAGACATACTTTTAAGTCCCTCAAGAGATTAAAGAAGGAAAACTAGTCAGATCTCATCACAAATATGAATTACTTTATGGCCTTTTTATGATTTAGAAGCTTTTCATTGGTAGCTAGTCTCATTCACTTTGTGTTAAGTGTTTTTATTTTGAGCTTTTGATATACTATTTAAATTACAGGCTGTTTATTTTGTTAAAACCTCAAGATTGCTGTGCCCTGGCTGACTGCAGATATTATCTATGTGGACAGAACAGATACAAAACTTCATAAAAATGTTCTTATGCATCAGTGATTCTGGAATAGCATCTACTTTTTTATTATTGGCTATAAAAACATATTCTATAAATTTAGATATTTTCAACTGTAGATAACAGAAAAGCCATCTTAAACTGACTTATATAATAAGACTTTTCATTAGTTCCTATAACAAGAAGTGCAAAGCAAGTAGCAGTCCAGGGCTGGTTTATTCACTGGCTCAATGACATCATCAAAAATCTAAGTAGTTATGAGTTTTCAGCTCAACAAGCCCCAAAATAACTGCTGTTCTGCCTGATCATGGCCAGTGAGATAGACAGGTAAACAGACAAACCTAGAATCACTTGCAACGTATCAGTCACCAGCCATGAACATGATTTATTCCTTCTGGCTTATTATTTTGTAAGAGCAAGATGACCTTCCCCAGAGGACTCCCTGGCATATTTCTCTCCCATCTCATTGACTCGTACTGTACATATCAGGTCCATGTCTAAATCAATCACTAGCAAGGGCAATGGAAACAAACTTATTGTTTTAGATGAGCTACTGACTTCCAAACTTTACTATGCCTCAGAATCACCTAGAGGCATAGTAAATATAGATCATGAGTTCCCACCAAAAAATGTTCTATCAGTATATCTTTGGTAGGTGAGATAATTTACATTTTCATAAGTGCACATATGATTCTATTTAGTGTTTACTGATCATCTGAAAGAATATACAGGAGCTCAAAAGGCCTCTTCTGGAATCTTCAGTACCTGGTGCATAAGAAGAATCAAAGTCAGTGACCATCATGGTAACAAAAGTTTCAAGCTAAGTGATATTAAGAAACAAACAAAAAAACAAAAAAACAAATTTGACCCAAGATTGGCATATATAGGAAAAGTTTTTATTATAAGACACATGGTAATTGGCTGAATGTAAACATTAGTAAAATGCATTGTACTTTGAGCTTATTGCTCAAGATCAAACTAGGCCCTTTGAAGCCTAGGAAAGGTGAAAATCAAACAAAAAAATCAAATATAATTTAAAAGCTGCAAGCATTTTTTTTTCCCTTTCTACTTTGCAGAAAGAGAAGAATCTGTGCAGGACAATATTTTATTTGGGGAAAACAATCTCCAGGAGCCATGGGAGGAATGAGCAATGCATGTGAGGCCAGGCAAGGAAGTAGAGAGACGAAATGAACTGTGTTTTCCTTGCATTCTCCAGAAGAGGTTGGAATGCCCAGGTACCACACAGTTTGGAACAGAACTGCCACACAGTGCTTCTCAAACTTGAATGTGTCTGTGCATTATTTGGGAATCTTATGAAAATGCAGATTACAATTTAGGAAGTCAGGAGCAAAGCATGAGATTGTGTGTTTTTAACAATTTCCCAGATGCCATCAATACTATTGGAACCAGAGCTCATTTTGAGTAGTGAAGTTATATAATCAGTTTCAAACACGTTTAAGTAGACTTACCACAATTGTCCATAGAAGAAGTGCCTAGGAGCTCATGAACTGGCAACAAGAAGCTAGTGGACAGCTGTAGAAAGCGAACTAAAAACTATATTAGGGTAATATAATGGGTATCAGGGAAATCAGTAAAAAGAATATCTCAATAGTCCACGAGAGAGCTGACAAAAGTCTGAACTAATTAACCATGAAGCTGAAGAGGAAAAAAACATTTCAAAAGAGATATTTATACTGTAGAAAAAAAGAAACTGATAATTTTTCATTCATGATATATACATGTACAGGGAAAGCAAAAAACAAAAACAAAAAAAACAAAAACAAAAAACAAAATCTGACCTGGAATAAATGAACT